GAGACCAAGGTGGATAATGATGAACTGAAAGCCATAGCGGAGGCAAACCCATCTCAACCTCCGAGTGAATTAGCAGCAAGGTGTGACGTTACCATTCCAACAACATTATATTCACAAGTTTCTTTGCAACGTGAGTTCTTACACTACTGAGAAATGTGGAAGCAAATGGGAGCCTTTCCAATATTGATGGCGTTCAATTCTTTCTCTCTAGTATGAACTCTCACATCTTAAAAATATCGAAAGAACACCCAAGGCTTTTACATCTCACCAAACGCTATTAGTCTTGTGCTCAGTAATGCAAAACGCTTGTGTTGTAGGATTCTCAGAATTTCTTAGATGCAGAGTGTTCCTCCACAGTGTGATTTCCCAAAGGTGTCTTAAAGGGTGAGTGTCCCTGGACGGTTTTTCATTCTGGTGACACCTATAGGGTTTTTCCTAAGTGTCACTTGTCACCTGACTTCCTGGAGCTATCATTGAAGGTGTTCCTATAGCTACTGCATTCCTTGGGCTTCCCTCCAATAGCTTCTCTTTTCCACACTGCAAGGCAAGAATCTGAACCAAAGGTTGTAACATATAGATTGCACTTAGAGGTTTCTCTCTAGAGTGAGTTAACCTGTGGCTTATTGAATGCTACTTCATACTGATTGGAAGGGGGAGGGTCCGCCAAAAGATTGTCTTCACTGGTTTCATGGCAATCTTACCAGATGGTTCCCAGCAATCTGTCTCCTGGCATTCATACCTTGTGTATGTAGTCTTCTCCCTCATTGTATCAGGATTGGTGTGTGTGTGTGTGTGTGTGTGTGTGTGTGTGTGTGTGTGTGCACATGTGCGTAACAAATACAACATGGAAGAAGTAAAAAGATGTCTTTCTGAGGCTGGGCCATAAAAGACATTGTGCATTCCATGTTGGCTCTTTTGGGTCATTTTGTTTGAGGGGAATTTTCTTCGACATCATAAAAAAAAACCTCAGCCCTGGGGATATGTCCCCATGGTGGGGAGCTGCAAGTCCCCTGACAACAGCCAGCATTAACTTTCCAGGCATGTGAATAAGCTATCAAATGACCTTTCCTCATTGAAGACTTCAGGGGACCACAGCTCTGGCTGACGTCATGACTGTAACTTCACGAGTGATCTTGGGGCATGACTGCAGAGCTAAGCTGTTCTCGAATTCCTGACCTACAGAAATTGTGAGATAATGCATGTTTGCTGCTTGAAGCCACAAAGTTTTAGGGAGTGATTTTTGACACATGAACAGATAACTCATACATGCGATGTGGGATGGGAACTTTGCCTTTCCCAAAGTTATTGCATTTGCATCGATCGATCATGCACAGAAAAGTAAGAGTTTTTTTTTTTTTCAAATAACACAAATTTATTTTTTTTTATTTTAGTGTATTATGGGGGTACAAGTGTTAAGGTTACGTATATTGCCCATGTCCCCCCTCCCCCCTTGAGTCAGAGCTTTAAGCATGTCCATCCCCCAAACATTGCACATCTCACTCATTGTGTTTGTATATACCTATCCCCTCTTCCCCCCTCCCACCTGCCCAACACCCAATAAATGTTATTCCTATATGTCCACTTAGGTGTTGATCCATTAATACCAGTTTGCTGGTGAGTACATGTGGTGCTTGTTTTTCCATTCTTGAGGTACTTCACTTAGTAGAATGGGTTCCAGCGCTATCCAGGAATATACAAGAGGTGCTATATCACCATTGTTTCTTAAAGCTGAGTAGAACTCCATGGTGTACATATGCCACACTTTGTTAATCCACTCATGAATCGATGAGCACAATTCACAATTGCAAAGCTGTGGAAACAACCCAAGTGCCCATCGATTCATGAGTAAGAGTTTTTAGTGAAAGATTTTCCGCAATAATTACATCCGAAGGGTTTTCCTCCACTGTGAGTTCCCACGTGTTTCTTAACAGAGGAGAAATGATTAAAGGCCTTTCCACAGTCACTGCACTCATAGGGGTTCTCTCCGTTATGAATTCCCTTGTGTGCTTTAAGAGAAAAGCTACCGCAGAGGGATTTTCCACACTCTGTGCGTGAGTAGGGTTTTTCTCCAGTATGAGTTCTCACGTGCTGTGCCAGCCGTGAGCACTTCCTAAAGGTTTTCCCACAATCCTGACATTCATAAGGTTTCCCCCCTGATGAATGCTATTGTGTGCAACAAGGGCAGAGCTTGTGCTGAAAACCTTTCCACACCAATTGCATACAAAATGATTCTTCCCAGTACGCACTATTCGGTCCCTTTTGCGGACACATCGAGTGTGGGAGACATGAAAACACTGATCATGTTCGTAGCGTTTTCCTCCAGTGTGAATTCTCAAGTGCTCAAGATGAGTAGGTGTGACCTTAGGAGCAGAGAAATAATGATGCCTAAATTCTAATAAATATAGTAACTCTCTTTCACAAGGAAAAAGAAATGCAAGCCCCTTCAGTCACTATCCAGGGTGATTGGGGATATCTGGTCCCAGGAGCCCAAGTTGAAACACAGACTTCAAACTCTCCAAAGCCTTTAGCCTTAGAGCATATAAAGTCAGGACAAGAAACAGGTCTTGGCTGGGCGCGGTGGCTCACGCCTGTAATCCTAGCACTCTGGGAGGCTGAGGCGGGCAGATTGCTCGAACTCAGGAGTTCGAAACCATCCTGAGCAAGAGTGAGACCCTGTCTCTACCATAAAATAGAAAGAAATTAATTGGCCAACTAATATATATAGAAAAAAATTAGCCAGGCGTGGTGGCGCATGCCTGTAGTCCCAGCTACTTGGGAGGCTGAGGCAGCAGGATTGCTTGAGCCCAGGAGTTTGAGGTTGCTGTGAGCTAGGCTGACGCCACGGCACTCACTCTAGCCTGGGCAACAAAGTGAGACTCTGTCTCAAAAAAAAAAAAAAAGAAAGAAAGAAAGAAAAAGAAAAAGAAACAGGTCTTTAGATCACAAGGAGGGAGTTAGACCCACAGCTCCATGAGGGCAAGGAACATGCCTGTCTCTTTCATCTCTGTACTCCCAACCCCAGAACGGAGCTTGGAACACAAAGGTGCTTAAGGAAGACTTGTGAGAAGTGATGCCAGTGAGCATGGCAGAGCAGGGAACTCCAGAATGCCACCCTCTTCACAGAAACACAGAATACATGTGCAAAATTGCTCTCCTCTTGCACGTGGGCAGTGCCCAGCTACTTGGCCGTCACCACCTGGCCACATGGGGGCAGGGACGTGTTGCAGGAGGAGGGAAGAGACGAGAGGGTCATGCTTCCTGGGGTGAGTTGGGGTTTGGGGGGCTCTCTGGTGTATCGAAGTCAGCCAGCTCCATCAGCAGCCGGGGAACGCGTGTGCCTCCAGATGAAAGAGCAGGTTCTGCAGCAGAAGAGTCCACTCATCGTCAGAAGGAAAGCCAGATACCACAGCCTCTGCATGGGAGGGGGGCCACACCCAGCACCTGGAGCCACTGCAGTCCTCATAGGAGCAGCACATATAATATGTCCGTTACAGTCCTTCAAAATACCAGCAATGGCTAGGTGTGATGGCTTGCACCTGTTACCCCAGCTCCTCAGGTGGCCGAGGCAGGAGGATCACTCGAGGCCAGCCTGGGCACCATAGCAAGACCTCATCTCTACAAAAAAAAATTTTTTTAATTAGCCAGGCATGGTGGTGCACATCTGTGGTTCCAGCTACTCAGGAGGCTGAGGCAGGAGGATCACTGGAGCCCTGAGGTTTGAGGCTGCAGTTTGCTATGACACCACTGCACTCCAGCCTGAGACAGAGTAAGATCCTGTCTCGAAATGATAATAATAACAATAATAATACCAGCAATGTTTTGTTTGCATTTCAGGAGCAACCCAAGCAGCAGTGCCACCCCTCTCCCAGGGGTGCCGGATGCCCAGTTGCAGGCATGGGTTGGCCCTATGTCTGTCCCACGTGCAGTGGGAAGGTGGGTTGACTCAAGTTGGGTCATTCTGCACAGCCCTCATTGCCCCATTACACTGTCTAATGGGTCACAATAAAAAGAACTTTATTCTTGACCCAACATTGATCTCCTGTTTTCATATCTTTTTTCCCCTCTATCATGCATCCTGGAAGACTTCTTGATAGAATTTTCTTATTTATTTCTATTTTGTTTTATTAATTAATTAATCTTAAAAACTTTTTTGAGACAGGGTCTCGTTCTGTCACCCAGGCTGGAGTGTGTGTGGTGTGACCATACCTCATTGCAGCCTTGAACTCCTGGGCTCAAGTGATCCTCCTGCCTCAGCCTCCCGAGTAGCTGGAACTACAGGTGCCTGCCACCACCTCTGGCTAACTTTTTAAAAATCATTTTGTAGAGTTGAGGTCTTGCTATGTTGCCCAGGCTGGTCTCAGCCTCCTGGTCTTAAGCAATCCTCCCACCTCAGACTCCTAAAGTGCTGGGATTACAGGCATGAGCCACCGCCATGCATGGCCATATTTTAGAATTGATCCATATCATTTGCATATATTTATGGTATACAACAAGAAGTTTTGACACACAGTGGTCTCCCTCTTATCCATGGTTTCACTTTCTGCAAAACCCATTACCTGCAGCTGATCACTGTCTGAAAATATTCAATGAAAGTTTCCAGAATAATTCGTAAGTTTTAAATTATGCCCCCGTTCTCCTTCCCAGCGTGTATTATGAGGAAAAAAAACAGTGTAACTACAAAACACTAAATGATCCTTCCACCTAGATCACACCTGTAGCATCTGATGTAAAAACGAATTAATAAAAATGATGGTAACAGAGAGTGAGGTGCACCATGACTCGTAAAAGTCTCCTTCCTCCTCCCACGAATTTCTCCCCACAAAACCATGCACTCGTCACACGGTTTGCCTTTCAAATGCATTTAATAAAGAGCAGTTTGGGAAAGCCAAAGTGTCACAGTGCAGGGTGGGAAAGAGGGTGCACGTTAAAAGACAGGCTCCTAAAAATCGGGAAGGCTCCGGCTGGGTCGCCGTGCGGTGCCCCTGCCCGAGGGTGCCCAGCTACCCGGCTGCGTCTTCGTTCTGGTCTGCGGTCTCCGCGACTCCCTCTGGGCTCCTCCCTCTCTCGGCCTCCCTGGCCAGTCTGTCCGCCCTCAGGGCCTCAGCCAGCCTCTGCCTGGCCTTCTTGACCCTGCGCTCCTGTCTGCGGATGTCTGCAGTTGTCACCAGCTGGCTGGGCAGGGGCAGCAGCGGCGGGAGGTGGAGACGGGCTCCCTGGCTGAGCTCCCCGAATGCTGCTGCTGCTGCAGCGGTGGCGGCCGGGCCGGGGGCGCGCCCGGGGCTGTCCTGGGGACCCGCAGCGCCAGCCCCGCCCGGGCACTGCTCTGCAATTCCCTTCGCGATGATTCTCAAGGCGTTTGAAAAATCTAGTGGGCCACAAGGTTCTCCCTCGCTGTCGCAGGCCTGCAGCCCCTGCAGCCTCCCGTAGGCACAGAGTTGCTGGGGCCTCTCCAGGTGCTCCTGCCCTAGCTTGCGCCTGACCTGGTCGCCGGGCCGGGACCTGACTGTGGTCACCGGCTGCTGGAAGATGCAGCTGGTCTGCCTGACCGGTAGCTCCGACCTCAGAGCGCGTCTCCGCCTGGCCTTGGCCACGTGGATCTCTTGTTTCTTCTGCAAAGCCGGGGGTATCATCCTCCTCCTGAGCCTCCCCTTGAAAGAGAAAACACAATGTGAAATTTAAACATCTACGGAAGATCAGCTTGGCTCCGCCTGGGGGAGTGTGTCCGGCTGCTCTGCCCGCACCGAGCCTGGGGAAGTCTGTGCAAATGCAGATTTCTGGACCTGAAATCTCTCGAGTAGCTCTGGAGAGGGGCCCAAAGAGTTTGCACGTCCCGGGGCTCCCAGATGAGGCTGGTGGTGCCGGGACAGGCCCGCACATGGTAGACCGTTTCCTGGGACCTCACACAGCTGATGGGAACCAAGGACAGAGAGTTCAAGGTCACTCACTACCCAGCACCGATTCCATACCACGTCCCTCCTGCGTCCTCCCCAAGGACACTGGGCTTTCCTCTTCCCTGTCATCGTCGGCTGATGCCTCCAAACCTGCCCTCACTGGGACCACGGGGGTCACAGGCCACCTTGCAGCCCCAGACCGCAGGTCTCTCCGTATCCCTTTTCACTGTGCTTCCGGACACAGCATCCCCTTCCCTTCCGTCTCCAAAGAAATCACACCCTACTTAATCCTTAATCCACACTTCCACGCCCAGACCCACCCTTACCTAAAATGTCCCTGCTCATAAACATAAACCCCAGATATACCCTATTGCCTTCCTGTAGTGCTAACAAATTCACTTCGTTACAATCAGACAACTTGATAGAAACGTTTGGTGCTCTACTGCAAGAGATGATTCATTACTAAGAAATCCTTTCTAGAAATCCTTTCTCCCTCTAACCCAATTATGAAACTCCCAGCCTCACTAATCTGCTTAAAAGGCAAATCTAATCGGTGCACTTCCTAGTTTAAGCCCTTCGTTTCTGTACCTCCCATTTTACTTCTGTTGTCCTGGCGTAATTAATGCCACCCCTTTCGTCACCCAAGATGTCTCAGTTTGGCGGGAAAACTACTTTCCCCTCTAGTTATGATAAGATAGGGAACCGGCAGGGTCTGCGTGATAAGGAGTCATAAGACCCCAACCAAGGTCTCTGATAAAACGAGAGGTGATGGAGAAGCCACCCAAACCCCGCTAACACCAACATGGCCACAAAACACGACCTCAGGTGACCTTCGCTGCTCATTATGCCCTGTTTATAGTGCATTAGCATATTAGAAGACACTAGAGTTGGCAAATACCATGGCCGCTCCCAGAAGTTACCCTATATGGTTTTAAAAAAGGGACAGATTTTCAGTTCCAGGAACTCCCATTCCTTCCCCAGAAATCTCATGAATAATCCTCCCTCCCTTTAACATAAAATTAAATAGAAGTTATAAAATAAGATGCCAGAAACTCACAAAGTGCCACTGTCTGTTGGTCTGAGAACGAGCTGCTGCCCTGTCTATGGGGTAGCCTCCCTTTTCTTCTTCTTTTCTTACTCCAAAAAACTTGCTTTTGCCCTGCTCTGTTGGCTTGCTCTTGAATTTTCCTGAGCAAAGCCAAGAACCCCCTTGGCCTTCAGGACAAACTGGGTCCACTTTCCTATCTCAGTGGAGCACCTATTACGTGCCAAGCTGTTCTCTAAAACTTGGGATCCAGTTTGAACTTGGTAAAATCACTGCCCTGTTTATTTTGATCTTGGTGAGAGGATGTAATAAGCAGACTAATGAATTTCTTATAGAATGTCAAATATAATTAAGTTATCTGATGAACAAGGCAGAGAGAGAGAGACTGAGACTGATGGGGTGAAAGAAGAGAAAGACACTCATTTCCATTAACAGTGATGGTGAGTTTAGGGAAGGACTAACTGATCACATGATTTTAACCAGAAAACTAAATTTAAAAAAAGAAAGTTGTGGGGTTGGGGAGCCCAGGCACATTCTGGTTAATGAATTTTCCAGAGAGGGGGACAATTTGAACAGTGCAGGGCCACATAATTCTACTTCTCCTTCCTCATGACATTATGGGTTTGAAAATGAAAGCCTGGCCTGTGATCCCAAGGTAGCTCCGTACACCAAAAGGTACAATATCTTGACTCCGACTCAACGGCTATTAACACCTAGGATAGAACTTGCCCTGGGACATCATCTTGTCTTAGGGACCACTGTCCGCTAATGTGAAGAGGTTTTACAGGAGGAAGGACACACAGGGAGACTTTTGCTGTCACTGTGGATCTCGAACTCACCAGAACAGGCTGGGTTGGATAGGATGGAGACTCAGGTTCCTCCATGGTCGTAGAGTTCATCCAGCTCCACTACCAAGATGCAGACGTCCTGACGTTTGCTGGAAAATGCAGTGAACTTCCTCATCTGGCTCTTCTTTTATAGGGGAGGAGCACGGATAATCCAATCAATGGAAAATCCAGAGGAGACATCCTGTCTTCAATCCACAGAGTTTGCAAGAATCCTAAACCTTTATGCAAAATAAAAATTATAGAGGGTTACTCACACTGCCAAATAGTGTTGAGAAAAGAAAAAGTTTAATACATTTGTGTAGGGGTCTGGTATTTCCAGTTAAGATCAGTGTTTTACTTGTGCTTCCTTTTCCCACTGCGACCTCAGCATCTTTGAACACATTCTACAGAAATAGGAACGGAAATTCCTATGTACGGAAATTTTGATGCAATATTTGTTTTAATAAGAAAAATTAAAGGCCATTTAAATTTTTATCAAAGAAAGAATGCCCAACACATTTATTCACAATCTTGTAGAATAAATATATCCCACAGCCGTTACAAAGAGATTAAAATTTTATCCATTTACGTTTCATGTGGTTATCGATAAATTTGAGATTATTTTAATCATTTTACTCTTCCCCTAGGGTTTTACCTAACTGAATCATGTTCCTTTTGTCCTTTACTTGACTGACTTTAGAGTAAATATTGTATTATTTTATCATTCCCTCTATAAACTTGTTAAAAGTTACAATCACACCCAAACCCATGTAGTTATGCTAATGTTTGAATCATGAATCCTTTATATAGTCTGAAACAAACCATTACTTTAATCCCTCCCTCCAAATGCTAATACCTTAGAGCACTTTTCATTCTGTTTCTACCTTCTCTGACTTTTGTGTTAATGTTGTCATGCATATTAAGTCTACATATATTTTATTCTCCATGAGACCTTTCTATGATTGCTTCACAAAAAGAATCTTCCTTAACATTTTGCTATATTTTATCCTTTCTGTCCTCTTCATTTGTTCCTGAATTTTTAGTTTTCAATCTGGGATTGTTTTCCCTTTGGACCTGAGACCTCACTCTAGTATTTTTTTTTTTTTCCTAATTCAAGCCTGTAAACGATGAAATGTTTCCATTTGCACCTCTCCAAAGGCATCTTTGTTTGTGGGCAATATTGCTACTAAATACAGATTTCTGGTTTGACAGACGTCTATCAGTCCTTTAAAATTGGTGCGCCCTTGATGCCCATCTCATTTTATTGATGTTGAGACATTATTAGTCACCAGACTTTTTGTTGTTTCTTTGGCCTCTGCATTGTCTAAACTCTTTCCCATTATCTTTGGTTTGTAGACCAAGGTGGTATAGCTCCTAGCTCATTATTGCTTCCTGCATATTTACTTTGCCTAGTGGGTGTGGAGTTAATTGCATCTATGGATTGATGTCTTTCATCAACATGCAATGTGCATGAATATTTTCACTTCTGACGTCCATTCTTTGTCCAGTTCTTTCTCCTCCTCCTGTTAATCACATCCCACTTGTCTTTAACTCTCTTCTGAATTTTCCAATGTTGTTCACCCTGTGCTTTGGTTGGGCCATCGAACTGTCTTCCACTTCAGTGACAGCTCAGTCTCTTCTCAATTTCTCACGTCATTAATTGCAGCATTAAATGCAAAACACAATACATAGCTTCAATTTAAAAATAGGTAAAAGAGCAGCTTCATCATCAATGAGCTGATGGCTTTTCCTTTTGCTACAATAAAACTCACAATGTAAAGGAGAAAATTATAACCTGGATCATATTGTAATATATTAAGAGCTGCTATTCATCAAAACTCATCAGTAAGAGAGAGGAGGTGGAAAGCCACAGAGTGGGAGAAGATATTTGCATTTCTTACATCCCATGAAGTACATCAAGCCTGAATATATAAAGAATTCTGTCAACCAAACTGACAAAAATAATAAGAAACCAAATAAAAAAATAAGAAATCAAAAGCCCACTTGGAAAATGGGTGAGAACTTGAACAGGTCCTGCACAAAAGAGGATAAATGAATGGATGATAAAAATGTGAACAAATTTTAACCTCTTTTAAAAAGTGGCAATGAGATCCTAGTATACACATCAGTTTAGCTAAAATAAAAAAGGCAGCAATACCAAGTGCTGACGAGGGTATGGACCAATCAGATCATTAACATAAGGTGAGGGAGGAGGGGGAGTTTAAATTGGAGGAACCACTTTGGAAAAATGTTTGGCAGCATCTGTTAGAGCTGTCTGTAAGTCTACGCTGTTCCCCTGAGCACAAACAATACCAACAGGGCCGGGCGAGGTGGCTCACGCCTGTAATCCTAGCACTCTGGGAGGCCGAGGCAGGAGGATCGCTTGAGCCCAGGAGTTGAAAACCAGCCTGGGCAACATAGTGAGACCCCCATCTCTACAAAAACAAAAACAAAACTAAACTAAACTAAGACGTTATCTGAGTGTGGTGGCACATGCCTATAGTCCCAGCTAATTGAGAGACTGAGGCAGGAGGATCGCTTGAGCTCAAAAGTTCAAGGTTACAGAGCTATGTTTTCACCACTGCACTCCAGCCTGGGCGACAGAGAGAACCCTGTCTCAAATAGAACTAAACAAAACAAAACCCAAATAAACTAATAACAAACACAATCTCAACAGTTTCCTGCAGTTTCTACCCAGGTTTTTTTTAATTATTCTCATCCTAGTTTCCTTCTATAAATTTTCCTGGGTTGATCTTTGGGAGGCAGCCAGACACTGACTATTTTGCCAATTTGGACCTGGAGCTAGAAAATGTGAGCAACTTTCTTCCACCTATGTGTGTGTATGTGTGTTGCATATTCAAAACATTATATTAAAAAATTTTTTCTTAAATTCCTATTAAAATGAATGTGTTTTACTGTGGAAGACTGAAGCCTTAAAGAATAGTATAAGGGTAAGGTAATAAATGAACACAGGATAAGATAGCTCAGTTACCACTGTTTGCAACCACTCATGACTTAGTGGGTCTGTGCAGGTATCCCAGCTTGGAAACTTAAAAAAAAAAAAACCAAAAGATTCAGCAAAACATGATCATGATCAATCCTTCAGTTCCAACCACAAATCTCCTAGATCCATGGGTATCAGCCTGTAATGTTAAGTGATACCACCGTGCAAACCTCAAAATCCAAAGTGTAGTGAACTCAGCAAGACAGACAACCTTACTCCTTCAGGAAATAATTTACACACACACACACACACACACACATGCACACACATGCTCCACCTCTACTTTCTCCCTACCTCCAATCCCAAAATGAGTGGGCTAGAGAGATCTCAAAAATTCTTCAGAAACACATCAACCAGTTGCACAATGTGGATTTTATAAAGATCCTGAATCAAACATAATATAAAACCAAGAAACAAACTGGAACACCATTGGGGAGATCTGAATACTGATTCTATACTTGATTATTAATAGCAAGAACATATTTTCATATTTGTGAGTCATCCTGGTGTTGTGTTCTTGTCCCAGTCAGCTCTGATCCTTACAAGATATCCAAATATTTCACAGATAAAATGATATATGCTTTCGGGAACCTGTTGCAGGTTAATTCCACTGGAATAGAATCAGCATGGTAATGAGGTGATACTTTTGGAAGCCAGGGGAGGGAACTGGTTTTTCTATTCTCTCTGCTTTTGTCAGATTTTGGAACAATTCAGAACAAAAGTTTGGTAAAAATGGTATACTCAGCTCACTAATCACTGCTTAAATAAATAAATAAATAAAAGGACATTACAAATACGAAGGGAATCTCTCTAAGCACTTGTTTCTGATCCCCTTGGACTCAGAATGCATGTAGAGACAATCATCTCATTCACCATCTAGAGTTCAGCAATTTTTATTCTCTTCCTGGAACCGTCTGAGCTCTAAAAATCAATCACCTCATTCTACGTTCTCAGAATTCCTTATGCCCTTTAATTGTACCGTTGGACGCAAGTCGCCACTTCATCTCTGAAGTCGCTGATCTCAAGGAACTTTTCATACAGGTGATTATTCTAATTACCTCTTTCTTCACTGATTGCCACGAATTCAACTTTCTCTTTGCCCTGTTACTGCAGCGGATACAATTAACTGCAAAGTTAAATCACCTCGGGCTCTTTCAATGTACTAAGGCCTCCCCTACACCCTCCCCTATACAGATACAATTAACCCTGCCTGGATTTCAGATTTTACCTTGTCATGTGGATGTGCTGCCAAGCCCGAAACATCCTGAAACCACGGAAAAGGTTCTTCTTCTTGACTTGCGGTCGAAGAAGTTGGAGCTCTTAAAAAAGATATTCTGATGTCCTGGCCCCTCCCGCAGATATCCTCATGCACTTGGTCCGGAAGGCATCCAGGTGTGAAAAACTCCCCAGGTGTGTTTCATGCAAGCCTAGGTCCAGGACCACAGGCTCCAAAGCAGCTAGAGAAGTGGTATATCATCCTTATCTGTCCTCCAGTCCTTTGGGGAGATGCAAAATTCCTACAGCCCAGCCTGCAGCCAACATCAGTAGAGTAAGAATTAATGGGAGTGGCACAGCCATTTGTGTTTTTCTCTTTGGGTTGTTTAAGCTCTCCAGGTGGTTTCAATATACACCCAGACTGCAAACAATTAAAGTGGATTTATTCCCATTTGAACTCCCACTAGTTATCAATGAATGATCTGATTACTCCATGTCCTTGGCAGCACTCAGGTTCCCCATTTTGTTCATTTTAGCTAAACTGATGTGTGTATAATAATATCTCCTTGCGATTTTTATTAGCATTTTCCTGACACGAAAGGGGTTAAACATTTGTTCACAATTTTACCAACCATTTGTCCTCTCTTCAGCAGACTCTACTGAAGTTATTATCCCATTTTAAAGTGAATTTTCAGTATTTTTTTTTTCATTTGACAGAATTCAATAGATAAATACTGTATTCTGGCTTGATGGTCCTCACCATATGCAGGGAATGCAAATATCTTCTCCCATTCTGTGGTTTTTTACAATGCCTCTTTTTTTTTTTTACTGATGGATT